CCCTTCGTTTTTCTTTCTTTCTTTCTTTTTTTTTTTTTCTTTTTTTTTTTTAATGATCATTCGAATCGGTTATTCCAAAGCGCACGATCACTGTTATTACACGCGATGATTCGATTTTGAAGAAGGGTGTTTGGCGCTTTAAATGATTGCTTCTTTTATCGAATATTTAACTTGAAATTATTGGGTTCAATTTCGTTTTGATTGAAGAGCGATGAAAATTATTTACGTTAATTTAATGTTTTATTAAATTGCTTTGCAAAGAAGGAGGATTAAATTAAAACGTATGAAAGCAAATTTACTTGTTAAGTAAACTGTTGCTTTATGAGTTTATGAGTTTTTGTGGTTCTTGTAAATGTTAAAATTTCAGTCCAATTTTTCTCCTTTTATCCTTAACATCGTTAAAATAAAACGAGAAAACTTGTAGTAGCATAAGAAAAAAATAAGTAAAAATTAGTTTCAAGAGTTATATAAAAAAGTAAGAATATAATTTTTATTTTTTGGATATAAATATCGCAAAGATAAGTCGAAAATAAAATTTTCTGATTTTAAAATCTCGTTTTCGAAAATTTATTTTAAAAATTGTTAAACAAAACAAGTATCTATACTTGTATAATTACGAATAGATAATCGACAAAGGATTATTCTATAACGAAAATACATAAAAAAAAATGTATAAATAAAAATTTTTTTTCATTTGAATATTTGTTTTCGAGAAAGCAATATTAAATTTGAAAATTCGTCGAGTATACGATTATATGATTACTGGATATGAATAAATAAAAGATTATTCTATTGTGTAAAAATATGTAAAAAATGTAGAACGAAAATATTTCTCGTTTGAAGATTCGTTTTTTGAAAGAATGAAATTTCAAAATTTGTCGAACGTATAAAGATTAGAAAATTACTTCTTCGTTGTATTTTCTCCGTTTATTTTTCTCTTAACGATAATTTAAACAAATAAAAAAATTATTTTACATTATTATATCATTCTCCCTTTTTTTTCCTAATTTTTCTAATCCATTACAATTCAAACGAGAATATTAAATCAAAATTTAATTTTCTCAATGAGCAGATCTGGAATGAAAATAATTAATTTTATTTACATAGAGAATTATTTCAACTATATTATAAACTCACTTGTCAATATTTGAACACTAATAATCCTAATGACACAAGGAATTCATTCGCGATTATTAATCAAGAATTTCGAATCGTCGTTCGAGATTTAACCTCGCCCATTTATATTTCGCCCACTTTACGTTGACACAGTTTTCCGGACCAAAGTGTTCAATGTATGTTAAAGACATTCCCTTCCAAATGCAAATACCATTTTCGCGTTACGTCAACGGCCGCAGTTTACATAGAACGGCCTGACACATCAGCCACCTGTAATAAACACGCTACAATTAACATCGGTTACGTTTCAAAAGCACGTGTACGCATTTCAAGAGTTTTCAGATCACGTATTGTCGCAGCGTATGTCATTTACAAATACGGTTCTTAATAACGTCGTAACGTTGCGTTTCACCTGAAACGTAATCGAAAGTGCGAGCCGTTATGCTATTCAATGATGGATTTTAAACACAATCGCGATTGCATCCACTCGTGAAAATGCAAAAAAAAATTCTTGCGAGAATCTTGCGGTATCCAACTTTTTAATAACATAAAGCGTATACTTGTTCACTCTTACTTGGAATTACATTTCTGCATTTCGTGAGCAATAAATTGTCGAATGTGAAATATTGATATGTACGAGGAAATCAAATATTTTTCTTTGAGTAGAATAGAATTTCTTTGTACATTGTTTTACACTTTTTAACTCTCCATCCAGTGATGAAGAATCAATTCTTTTTTCTTAGTTTTTGTCTGACTCGTATACATCTTCTATACAGAAGATATATTCCCGAGAAAATTTACAAGTTGAAAAACAATTGCTCTTTTGAAACAAGCCATAATCCCTGAGATAATGATATAATCTGAGCTGCGTGCGGTCACTATATGAACAATTACATCCAACCAAGTCTCATGTTTTCTTTGTATCTGGAAAAGAAGATTAAAATTCTTTCTCTTTCTTTTTCATTAATATTTTAATCGTTATTACTTATGCGAAAAAATAACCCGATGAAATTGGGATTAAATGGGAAAACGGTACGATTTAACGATCTTGATTATTCTTAAGATTCCTGTATTGTCAAATGATCCCACGTCTTTAACGTTTAACGCGTTAAATAAATCTGAAAAGAAAAGAGAGAAAGAAATTATTATATAAATTCGTTTATTAAAGTCGTTTATCGTGTAATTAATCGACGAAGATGCGAGCCAGGGATTGCATTGTTCGAAGAGATGACTCGAAACTAAGGAGCCGTGTCTCTCTTATGTTCCACAAACCACGGATGTACCGGTAAACAAGAAATAGGATATACCCGGCCAACTAATTTCAACGAATATAAAGTGGTTCTTTGGTTGGGTTACGCTGTTATAAAGAATAAAATATGAAGACGGAGTGAAATGCGCAGATGGTGGATGAAAAACTTTTTTAATGAGAGGAACCGAGCCCGCGGGCTGAGTCTTTCAATTATGAAAGAGTTAAAAATTAAAAACAAGACGGCCTCCAACATTGATTTCCTTAATACAATAAACGCGATCGAACTTTCGCGTGCACGTTGTAGAAACATTACGACTCTTTC